TATATATATATATATGTTTTCTAAAACTGAGTTATTTAAATGTAAACAATGCCTGCTTATGGATCACACTCATGGGGCCAAGGGTTTTCTACACAACTATCCAAAAAGCCCGGGGAGTGAAATCGCTACCCTCCGGGTCTCCGGCGAACGCTCATCATGTTTAGTAAACGACTATAACGCCCCTTCTTATCCATAGCCTATTTTACTGTTGAAAATGAATGTAGGCGCCATATCGCTCAAGGAAAAAAACTGGGTGCAATACCCTTCCCTGGAGTGTTCAAATTAACTGACCAAAGTTTGATGGCAATCGGATGAACTTTTATTTTTTTATACCGTATATAGAGAAAAAATGCAGCCTCCCGTGGCGCCACCTTTGCGAAATTAAAACTGATTTTTTTAGAAAATTCTTCCCTGGAGTTTTCAAATTAATTCACCAAAGTGTGATGGTGATCGGATGAAAGGTGTCAAACCGCAATCGACTTTTATTTTTATATACCGTGTATAGAGAAATATTGCACCCTCCCGTGCGCCGCCTTTGCGAAATTAAAAAATATATTTTGTACATAACACAAACTGCTATCAACTTTTATTTTTATATACCATATATAGAGAAAAAAACAAATCGCGTCCTGCTGGGGTGCGAACCCTGCGTATTTGAAATTTTTGTATTCGCAGAAACCTCCCCAGGAATATTCACAACAACTTCCCAAAGTTACCCGGCGATGTAATGAGAGGTGTAGAAACGCATAAAACATACACACACCCAAACATTGCTTTATATATATATACTAGCCATCGGTACCCGTTTCACGTGAATAATAGGCATATATATTTTAAAACATGCGGCGTCAAAACGGCCAATAACAAAACGGCCCCGTCAAAAAGACCCCGATAAATCGGCCCCGACATAAGAGCCCCGTCAAATTGACCCCGTCAAAAAGGCTCCCGTTAAATAGGCTCCCGACAAATAGGCTCCCGTTATATAGGCTCCCGACAAAAGGGCTCCAGTCAATAAGGCTCCTGACAAATAGGCTCCCGTCATTTTGGCTCCCGACATATAGGCTCCCGTCATTTAGTTTTTTCCACAAAACGGCCCCCGTCATGACGACTCCCGACAAATAGGCACCCGCCATTTAGTTTCTCCACAAAACGGCCCCCGTCATTACGACTCCCGACAAATAGCTTAGCGTCATTGACGGGAGCCAATAAGTCGGGGCCCTTTTGACGGGGCTATTTTGACTGGGTCTTTTTGTCGGGGGTCGATTTGACGGGGTCATATTAACGGGGCCGTTTTGACGGGGCCGATTTGTCCCGGGCCGTTTTGACAGGGCACCATTTTAAAATGTTGTACTTGTTTGAGAAAAATAATTAATGAAATAGTTATTTGTTAAAACGCAATGTGCTTTACTACAAGCTGAACAATATTAGTGATAAAGCAAAGAAATAACTAATTAGCTAAAAATCGGACAACTTTAACATAACACAGGCACGCACTGATTAAGTGACTTAAATGATTCCGTTAAAAATCTGGCTACTCAACGGTCATTATTTTGATTATTTCTATTAATTTGTCCGATAAAATTGTATATATTTCATAGATCTAAATCAATTTTGGGTGAAGTCGTAGTACACTATCCTAACATCTCAGCTATTTAGGCACCTTATAAAATATGGAGAATAAAAGACTTAACTTACGCGAATATGCCTATTATTTCAAATTAATTTTTTAACCCAAATTAGCCAGTTCCATTGCTAAACAAACAAAGGCTTCTATAAAAAAATTAAGGCCTGAAATACTTTAATATAGACATTTTTTAAATAGATTCTAGAGTAGAGTCTAAATCTAAATCTTAGCGACTTAAGGTATACGTCTAGTTTTTTCGTAGATTTAGATCTAGATCTAGTTTAGATCTGGAATCTCTAGGTCTAGAATCCAGATAGATAAAATTAATTTTGTAAGTTTAGTTTATTGTATAAATTTCATAGCCTACGTAGAACTTAATAAAATTTGAATGAAATAGTTCATTTCTTTTTATTCTAAACACGGCAGATGACGTCATTAGTTAATGTATAAACATTAGTGACGTCACTGTTTTATGCATTCTTTTTCACAACTATAAACGCTTTTCCTGTTGCATAATTAAAACTGTTTTTCTACATTCAAATACGCCTTTATATTTAATTTTTCTTCTTTAAATAAAATTGTGGTTATACATTTAAAACATCTAACATATTATTTTCAACAAAAGTCTGTATCAAGTTTTCGATATACCGCTGCCGATTCTGATGTGATATCCGGCGAAAATATTGTGCGGACAGAGATAGAGAGAAGTGCGCACATGGGCTATTATATATTAGGATATGTGTGTGTGTATGTGTGTGTGTGTATATATATAAATATATAAATTAAACACGGTAGATATACTATGTGAACAAATAAGTAAATAAATGGAAAAGAAGTTTGTGCATCATTAAGATAAAATATATCCAAATTGAAAATATACAATAAGTATGTTTACATTTTTTTAATCTTCAAAATTCTATTCTCATGAACTATTTTTTTACAGCGATAATTGTCTCTCCAACTGTAATCCAGAATGGCACAAATTTTACTGTGACTTGTGACGCGTTGCGAGCGAAGCTTCCAGAAACAGCTACACGTGTTGATTCTTTAGAAATTAAATGGACTGATGGGATAGAAGCTCCAGTCTCCATTGCAGTACACTCGGAAAACTATTATTTTTTTTCTGTAAGTCAACTATGATCGAAATATCAATGCAATCTACTTACATTCGAGATTAAATTAATCTGATAATTCTGTTCGTTCGCACTAGGGACGTAATGTTTATACTAAAATGAACTAAATAAAAAAACACTTATGTGATTTAAATTCTGGTAGATTTAATGGATTTCCAGTAATTTAAACTAGACTCAGGTGTATATTTACAGTTGATACAAATAAAAATATATAAGTATATGTAAATAAAATTTAAAATAAATAACTATCAATATAAAAATATGTATATGTAAGGGGAAGTTTTTTTTAACCGATTTAAAAGAGAGAGAGAGATGGTAATATGGTATTGGTAATTATTCTCTCTAATCCGTGGCATTCCCGTTGGGACAGGAAGGTCTACAAGACTTGAGCAAACTAATTAACATTACAATAACACAACATTAATTTTACACTAAAAATAAAACTTAGTAAACACACAGTTAATGCATTTATTTATCTTCCTTTTGACGTAACAAATATATATGTAAAAGCAAAAGCTAAAGACACCAAATGAGACCTAGCCAGTCTTTCATATTTAAGAAGCATCACTTGAATTCCTAATACAAATCAAAAAGACAAAGAATCCTTAAACTTACATCTCCATATTAAATTATTCACCTTGGTTACATAACACAAAAATATATAGATTCTAAGTGTGAATAATAAACCGGCATTTACATATCTCAACTTTACGCAGGTAAATGTCATTTTCTCAAGTCCTATCCTACTGCTCTGCTTAGGTAATTTCAGATTTACTCGTGTTAATGTTATTCTTCCTAATTCTTATTTTTTTCCTTGCACTGTTACGTTATCTCAGAATCACCAATTGAAATATCATTATCCCTAGTTCTTAATTTCCTACTTGCACTGCTACATAATCTCAGAATTACAACAATCCAGCTCGACATTCCAACGGCAGGAAGATTTCCAGCCACTGGAATAAAGCATAGAGCCACGGGTACAAACATCAGCTATATGTAATAAGCATCAGGGTCGGATCACAGAAACAAATCTCTGGTCACCGGAACGAAGAACTTATCTACAGAAACAGAACGTTCAGCCACTGGTACCAACATCATCTACATAGCTAATGGCCACTGGAACGAAGATGTCTGACCACCGGTACAACATTGGCCACTGGTCTAAACATCAGGCTACAGATGTAAACATCTGGAACAAAGCACATATGTACAGGAACACGACGTTGGGCCGCTGGTGTAAACACCAGGCCATATCAACAATACATCAGCTGGGCCACTAAACCAGCCTTCGCAGGCCAGCCCTAAGGCTGCTACCATCAGGCCTCGAATAGCTTCTAGCCCCAGCTATGTGTTTGTAAGAGACAGAAAGCTTTACACAGTCCTTTTAAATAGCCTACATCCAACCAAACCTTTCCCCATACTTTCAAACCATCTGCTGACCACAACTGGCCGTCGCGACCTTATGCTAGTAAATTAAAGGAGACGTTTGACCAGTGCTTCGACGTTCCTCATTGTGCGGAACAGGCCATAAAAATGCAAGGCGGCGATCTGACCACCGTGGTCAACTGAGCCGTGACGTATGGCCATGAAAAAGCTAGAATCTGACCGTCCACACCACTGATTCAATTCACACCTCGTGAGGCGCACCACTGGCGTTTGGGGACTAAGTTAATCAACGAGACCTAAAGCCCATAATTTACCTGGTGACACCCTGTTAGACCCCCGCGCCGTGAGAACCGGGCGCCGTCTTGTGAGCAGGGGAGGGGGGAACATTACCCCGATCCAGCTATGACCAACCACGAATACAACTACAAAAACACAAGCCCAAATGTGACATACAATTAAAATAGCACGCCAACTATTGAGTACCAGCCAACATATATACCAAACAAAATGTCCGTTAATGAGGAAAAAACAACGGACGCTATGCTGACTAATCGAACTCGAGACTTACGGGTTAGCAGTCTAGCTCTCACCTGCTAGGCCAATCAGTAGAGTACTAGGTTATTAATGCTAACACGTCTCGATTTCGAATCCAGATACAAGTCAGTAGTGTGGACTATTATTGTTGTGAATATTTTTGGATGATAAGTGAGCATTAGTTTCCTATCAAAAGAAATCTATAAAAAAATTGTAAAATACTTCCACAGAATCTGCGTGCAACGAACTTGGCCTCTTTTTCCGCCGGCGGTTTTGTAATAGAGCCAATCAGCGGAACTAATGTTGAGACTGTTTACATAAAAATGACTTTCTATGACGCTAAATGTTCAGATGCTGGCGTCTACATTTGTCAAGCAACGTACGCTGATTCAGTCGATGGGAATATCCATTCAACATACGAGAATCAAAGTGTCGACACTTTCAGTAAGTTTTTAATACCTCACTCATACATGGGTTAACTGGCTGTGTCCTAGAGGCCCTTGGAATTTTGAACGGGCCCCCAAACCCAGATTTAGATTATCAATCTGCATGTTTTCCCCATCAAAGCATGAAGATTATCCTCGTATTAATTAAATTTTATGCGACGAATGAAAGCACAAATAAACATATTACAGCACCGTTCTTACGGGCACATATTTTTTTTACGATAGACCCTCGGGCTAGTATTCTGTCTCTGAACAGAATTCGCCAACCTGATTCATAAATAGTATGTTGTGTACTTTATAAGAATTGTATTGTGTTACACTATTCCTAAATTCTCAACTGTTGTCTATAGTGAACATGTAATTAATCTATATACTACTAAAAGTCAAGTTTGTTTACATGTTTGAATATTTTTTTTTTGTTTTTTTGTTTGTTTGTTTGTTTGGCTATTGACTATCTCGCATGGTTGCACTCATCGTGGAGAGCTGTAAAATAGTATGTAGGTAGAGAATTTTTTTTTTAAGACAGACTGTTAATTACACATTTATTTAAAGACGTTAATTAATTTATTGATTTATTCATACGCAGAGTAACCCTATTTTTTTTAAAAGTGTAGAACGACCACTACACTCGGCGGGACCGTGACGTCACAGTTTTTTGTTTACTCTTTAGTACAATAAAATGGCGGCGTCTATCGAAGAAAATTGTGTTCCCATTCAAAAGTTTAACGCGTTCTAAATCTAATTTTCTGTCGGTCATAACTTTAACAATACGTCCGTTTGCTGTATTTATTACGTTCCAACACTTATATCAATTTTCAACTCTCTTTTTTCATTTAGTTTTACAATAAATTTCTCTAGATCTAAAATCTGTCCAAGAAAGTTATTTATAGATCTAGATCTAGAATCTAGATCTTGGTCAAATCAAAGATTTAATAGTTATAAATACAATCCAAAAAAAACTAGACTTAAGCAAACCAGTCGTAGATCTAGAATATAGATAATTCTATCTATATTTAGATAATAATGAGTTTCTATATACTAAACTATTTTATACCTTTATTATTTTATATAATTCTTTGTTTGGAATATGGTAATTTTGAAATGCTCGCTCCGGGCCTATGAGCGTAGCTAATGATTAGATCTAGATTCTAGATCTAGCAAGAAAAACTAAACTTAAGACTTGAGCAAACCAGTCGTAAATCTAAAATATAGATAATTCTATCTAGATTTAGATAATAATGAGTTTCTATATACTAAAATATTTTAGACCTTTATTATTTTGTATAAATCTTTGTTTCGAATATGCAAATTTTCAAATGCTGGATCCGGGCCTATTGGCGTAGCTTAAGATTCATACGCCGCTTCGATGCCGGTAAGTTTGCTAAATTATAAACGTAAATTTTAAATATAGCTCAGTCGTAGATCTAAAATATAGATAAATTTCTATCTAGATTTAGTTAATAATGATTTTCTATAACCTAAACTATTTTAGACCTTTATTATTTTATAGGCCTATAAATCTTTGTTTGGAATATGGTAATTTTGAAATGCTCGCTCCGGGCCTATGAGCGTAGCTAATGATTAGATCTAGATTCTAGATTCTAGATCTAGCAAGAAAAACTAAACTTAAGACTTAAGCAAACGAGTCGTAGAATCTAGATCTAGATAATTCTATCTAGATCTAGATAATTTCAGACCTTCTTTATTTTATATAAATCTTTGTTTGGCTAAATTAAGATAAAATTTAATTTGAAAGTTACTACTACTAGACTTAGATCTAGATCTATGCGCGTAAATCAAGTTGCACAATTGAGACTCAAAGTATAGTATAAAAATTGATTTGTGACGTCACGAGGAAATAGCTAAGTTGGTAGCGTAGTCCGCTCTCATGCGGATGGCACAGGTTCTAGACCAATATGTCAATGATATTTTTTTTCAATTTTTTTTTTTTTTTAGATGTGAATGATAAAGTTGCCTATCTGAATTTGGCAGGATAGGTACAGGGCAGGTGAAGTAGAGTTCATCTGTTTCTTTGTCCTAAGCATATGAAAGGATAGTGTGGTCAAAGACATGCTCGGCTGGAATCGTTTTTTAAACGATAAAAACATGTTGTCTGAGACTTGGCGGGACACTGGGCAGGTGAAGTAGAGTTGAGTAGGTCATATGTGACGTCAGTATATGAAGGGATAGTCCGAAATCGGTGTTTTCGGTGTTTTTAAAAGATAAAAAACATATTTTTGAATGTGGGGTCTGTTTTTTGTGACGTTAAGTGACACTGCAGTAGCGTAGCGAGGAGGGGGGGGGGGGGGGCGGGAGGGGAGGCGGGGGGGGGGGGGGAAGGGGAGGCGTGGGGAGGTGGAGGGGGGAAGGGGGTTGACATATGTTGGGGCGCCAAAATTGTTTGGAAAAATAAATTGAAAGGTTGAGGGGGGTGCAAATCGAAAGTTTGAGTGGGGGGGTGCACATCAAAAGTTTGAGGGGGGGGGGGGTTGCAAATCGAAATCTTGCGGGGGAGGGGGGGGGGTTAAAATCGAAAAGTTTGTCCCCGGGCGCCGGGAAGGGTCGCTATGCCTCTGAGTGACAGACGTGATGTTTTTTGATGGATGACCCCAGAAACCCACAGTTATCCAACGGATGACGGGTATTCTAGTTTATTCTAAATTTTAAAAAGTCGTCTTTTTTTGTCCTCCCGTTAGCAATAGTAATTGGTGTCCGGTTAAAACCCTACTGGACGTATCCCCCCCCCCCCTCCCGCGACATAAACCCCCTGCACAAAAACCCTCCCATAGTAGTTTATATAAGGAAAAACCAAAGATAATAACAAAGATCAATAATTAAAACCTAAAAAAACATTAGAAAAAATACTTAGTGATTATGTTCAATAAAACTTTAAACGCAGGTTGAAATTCGAGCATTGCTATTAATATTAATTTTTCTATTTTGATAAAAAGTAACATGAATTTGTTTGTGTACAATAAAACTTTCGAAGCGATTGTTCCTTTTAAGAAAGTCAACGAACTTCAATATATTTGCGTGGCATAATCCAATATTGGAATGGAAACTGCTGTGCCAGCCTTCAAATTAGTTGTTTGTTTTTGGCATATTGTCTTCTGCACGTGTGGAAACAAACGTTGTTTCCTACCTCGACGTTGTGGTCAGCCAATAGAGTAGTCCTCGAAAGATTCTACAATCGGCATTGCCTTTTGGGAAATTTTCCGATAATGTATCAAAGGAATTACTAATGTGTTCAGTATGCATAAAAACCAACTTATGTAACATTCTTAGCTTGAGAGCAAACTCACTATCAATTTGGTAGCGTTGTTGAAGGCCAGAGTCCTGTATTTTTCTGAAAATGTTTGAGCTAAAATAGAAAAAGCACCCTATTACTTCACAGTCTGAAAATACCATTTTAACACTTTCTATCATAGCCATTTCAAAGTCAATAGTGATAGAAATAGGATGCAGGTTTGTGTTCAAGACCGTTAGTTGCATAAACCTCAGTCGAGGGTTTATTATCCAGAGGGTTTATCTCGCGGGGGTGGGGGGAGGGGTGGGAGTTGTCCAGAGAGTTATGTCGCGGGGGTTTATATCCAGGAGGATTATGTTGAGGGTTTTATGTCCAGTGGGTTTATGTCCAGGCGGTATTAGACCGAGAGCCATAGTAACTAACTCGGCTTGGAATGTTTGTGCATTTTGCAGTCGGGAAAATTATAATATCATTTTACTTTTTAAAACTTATGATAATGTAAACATAATTGCTAATAAATATTAAACACATTATTTCCCCATACAGTTGGATTAGTCCCTGAATCCGTGACGTTAAATCCTCAGAATAAACTAGACAAGGGTCCAAATGGATCAGTCAATTCTGCTGGATCTGATGTTAACTTAACGTGTACTGTTACTGTGAGTGGTTTTTGTAAATGATACTATTACAAAGTCATGCATTTTAACAATCTAAACTGGCATTTTAAATTTTCTATCTATTAACATTCAATAAAATTTACTCATAAAACAGCTGTTAAATTAAATAACCTGATGTTCCATGGGTAAAGTGAAGTAGAGTGGACCTTTGTTTTGTTACTTTGGCGCATGAAAGCGCAGTGTGGTCAGCCTTACTCCAAGCCACTTTTACTTTCCCTAACGTGAGTCAGGTACCCATCTTACCAGTGTCGAAGCATGGACGTTCTACGTACTTGAACCCGGATTCAAACTCGAGACATTGGGTTAGAAGTCGCATGCTCTACTGTAAGCTGTATTATTGCAGGGCCCTGAATATGTAACAATTAAATGGAAAATAAATAATACATACGAAGTCAGAGGCGAATATGAATCAGTTGCTATAAACAGTACCAACAAAATGTGTATCAAGTACCGTCATTGGTCAACGCTAAGGCACCAGATTCTGAGAGAGAGCAGTGATAATGTATACACGATTGTATGTGTGGCTACAGCGAACTTAGAAGAGACAACAGTTGGGACCATGACGATATACATCAAAAATGGTAAATAAAAATATTGCTTCTCTTTATTTAACAATTGAAATACGTAGTTATGTTTTATAATAATAAAAACGGGAATTAATGTGTTGATCCAGATGTTCTTTAATTGCTAAATAGAACAATCATAAAACGCATATTAATTTTTGATATATGGCATTCTCAGTTTCTCAGTTTATGATTACGGTCAGACGAAATTAGAAACACTCTTGTAAAACATTAAATGTCCTTGCCAATATATATATATATATATATATATATATATATATATATATATATATATATATATATATATATATATATATATATATATGGAAAAATTGAACCCTCGCAATGAAAAGATATTGGCTACGCCACTGTTGTCATCTTTCTTACTAACCAGCTATATGTAAACGTAAGATGTTCGAAAAACGTGCTTATAAGTATGAACAATCAAATGAGAAATTTAAAATACTTTTTAGAAATAAAGTTCACACAAGACAAACTCACTATCTGTAAAGTATATGTTTTAGATACATTTATCAATAATTAAATGAATAAAGAACACTTTTATATAAATTACTTTCCTAATACACATTTATTTAATAAAGATACACCTTGTGTGTTTAAATTGCAACTCGGATTATCTGTATCTTGAATATTATGTTTAATATATACACTTTACATAATGTACAGAATCCAAGGCAAATGAACCAAACACAGCTTTAAAAAATCTTGAAAGTCACGACATAGTCAGCCCAGGTGATGTTCCAGAAGGTGAATCTTTCACCGTGACATGCGATGCTTCACGAGCAGGGGTTCCGGAAAATGAAACAAAAATTTCATCACTGTCTATTTATAAGAGTACTACAATGGAAACACCAAAAACAACATATGCAAAATATGAGACATTTCGCTATCCTAATACATCGGTGAGATATTTGAAAGTTAACCTATTTTAGCTATTCTTTTGAAAAAAAGTATCTGACAAGATTAAATTGATTTATAATACGTTGATATTTAGTAATTTGTTCTTGCTGGATCTATGTATTTTATTATAAACAAGGAAATATATGTAGATACAAATGTAGATGTGGATGTAGAAACGACTGCTGATGCAGAAGTAAATAGGGATGTGGAGAAGACATTACTTTTTAATGTACTTTGTACAAAACTATTAAAATTATTAGTCTATTTATATAGGGACGATAAGTCATAGAAGAGGTGTGAACGTTTGCCTATTGTTAGCACTTTAGCTCAATTTTTTTTTGTATATACCAGGGGTCTCCAAACTACGGCACTCGGGCCGTATGCGGCCCGCTAGGTCCTAACATCCAGCCCGCGGCGATCTTTTTGTCCACTGAATAAATTTTTGTTAGAGGTGACTGAGGAATTTGTCCAGAAATTTCAAAACAATTTGAAAATGTTGTTTTGGTGCAAATACCTTTGCCCGCCTTGTTGCAGACATTGGTGAAAACATCGTAACTCAAATAGCGAAAAATGCAAGCAAACTTTGCCATTTTTCAATTGCAATGGATGCGTCGCTGTACAGCTGTTGCAGCTCTCAACTACTTATGTTCATTAGAGGTGTGGATGACGACATGAACATAGCACAAGAGCTGGCTTCAATGCATAACATTTATGGCACTGTTACCGGAGAGGATATATTCAATGAGTTAAACAAAACATTTGCTGATTATAACTTGGACTGGAGTAACCTCAGTTACATGACTTTTGATGGAGGAAAGTACATGAGTGGCATAAAGAAAGGCTTGGTTGGACAAGCGAATGAGAAAAACATTCTACATCCAATGTTCCTGCACCGTATTATTGACCAGTAAGCTTTGTGTGCTTGTTGTGAACACACGGACACTCCTTTCGGGTGATCCGATGCGTAGCGCAACATATAAGACAAACAACCACAAACGGGTTACAACACAAGACTGAATGAAATAAAGGCTCGTTGAAACTTTAAAAAATGTAATAATATCTATACTACATACCCCCAACACAGTCTATTCTAAACAGAAAACACACAAGCTAGTAAACTATATGATACAGTGGCTAAAAACTAGTACAGACCTAACCTATACTAACCTTGGAGATCTGGACGAAACTGAGGCAATCACACACGTTTTCATACACCTTATACACCCTTTCAAAAACTGGTGCAAACCGGACAACTATAACTCACAGCACGAGAACTGAACAAGGACGAACGGGATAGGGTACCAAGTACAAACAACATTCACCCTCACCCATCCCCTTCACTCGTTCACTACAGTGCTAAATATATGGACAAAAGCGGTGTACAAAATCCTGTGGTGAAGATGGTAATTTAATAAGGTTACATGGGCTCAACCATAGATAGTTCAGAGACATGTTGAAAGATACAAACACAGAATCGCAAGATTTACATTTTTTTTTCTGAGTAGAGTATTTAAGTTAAGAAAGGAAATAGGTGACTTACTGAAAAGTAAAGGCAAGCCACCTGTCATTAATATCTGATGAAGAGTGTGTATAGAAATTGGCCTCTGCTGCTGACATAACTAGTCATTAAATTTTCTGAACCTAAACCTACAAGAGAGTGAAATCTAGTTTCTGATCTATACACCCACCTAAAGGCCTTCAGATCCAAACTTGTCATGTTTTTGGAACAAGCACAGGCCAACAACTTGACACACTTTTAGCAGCGCGAGGTCTTTACGGCTGAAGCAACCATTGAGTTCCCCACATCGTTTGCATGCGAGATCATCAAAGACCTCCAGATGCATTTTCAGTAGCGGCTTTTTCACTTGGATTCAAAGGCAGAAGAAGCGAGACTGTTTCAAAACCCATTTGAAGCAAATGTGGCCAGTTGCAAAGAGGAAATGTAGCTGGAGGTAATTAGAGACACGTTCACATAAGGGCGGATGGGTTTTTATAAGTTTTTACACTAAAAGACTTTCCTAATATTAAAACTTTTGCGTCAAAGCACCTTTCAAATTTCGGAACAACATACAAGTGTAAACAAAAGTTTTCAAGAATGAAGAATAATTTGAGAGCAGACTTGGACCTCGAGTGTGTTGTTGTCCCCCGACATTGCTTCTTTCAGATTTTTTCTCCGAGGGGGGAGGGGCACTTGAAATTTTTATATATTCCTATATAAGTTATATTTCGTTGGGGGGGGGGGGGTAGAGTAGACGTGCTTCGGGGCAGTGGCGTAGCGAGGTCGGGTGTCACCCAGTGCGGCACTTAATGGTGTCACCCCCCCCCCCCCCCCCCCCCCCCCCCGAGGCGTAGCGACCCTTCCCGGGGACAAATTTTCTATTTTATATTTCTATTTGCACCTCCACCCCCTCAAACTTTCGATTTGCCCCCCCCCCCCCCCCCTCAAGTTTTTTCTATATATTTTGCTATTTTTTGCCTTGGTGTCACCCCCCTAAATGGTGTCACCCGGTGCGGTCCGCACCCCCACCCCCACCCTCCCCCTCGCTACGCCTCTGCTTCGGGGGGCCGGAAGAAACTCTGCCCCCCCCCCCCCCCCCCCCGAACTGATATTTGATAGTTAATGCGGTCCTCGGTGTAAAAAGTTTGGAGACCCCTGGTATATACAATAGTGTGTCTTTGTTAGTGTAGAAAAATCACTGCTTTAGTTTATAATTTTATTTTAAAGCTGTTTATTCAGGTGCAAAGAAAACTAGGTTGTTGTTTTGGTCGGATCCCCCCCCCCCCCTCCTTACTTACCGCGGGTCTGATAGCATGGTACTTTAGATACATCATTACCCGTTTTACCAAATGTGCTTAATCAACTGAGCACTGTAGCATCAGTGGCGTAGCTACCGTAAAGCTGGCGTAAGCAAGGCATAGGGGCCCTGGGCAAATAGGGGTGCTTTTCCTTCTTTAAATTTATAAAACGTTTACATTGGAATTTTAATATTTGTATTAAAAAATAATTTTTAAAAGAAGACGGAAATCCAGTTTCTATTCTACTGTAGAAGTAATCAAAAGTTCCAAAAAAGGCCCTCAGACCATTCTTACTGGGAAGGGTATGTATCGGACCTATCGGTATTAATAATATTTCAGGCATTGTTGCATTGTCGGGCAAGAAGTTTAGAGAACTAGCCTATAAACAAACTTGAACATTGACTCTTTTATGAGATTGGCATCCGGCACCCGCAAATTTAAACTCAACGCTAAAAACTCACTACCCCACCGCCACAAACATGCACCCCCTCCACTCTCAACTCTCTGTCCTTAACGAAATTCCATTCATCCATAATTACAATTAAGCCATATTTTAATTAGTTGCCGTGGAAAGTGTTTTCACAACACGCTTAGTCGAAAAAATTTCAATGTTTTCTGCTCGTTTAATTACCTTAATCACAATTTGTTTGTTGATCTAATTTATTTCTAATCAACATACTGCTATGTTACGTTCGGGTTGGTTTCAACTTAAAAGACGATTCGTGTGTACTTCAATGCTACTATTCAGTCTACAATATGTACATTTTAGCGTAGCTCTCGTCCTACCGGCTATCAACTAACCCCTGACAATCATTCACTCCAGCTTTTATACCGCATTCGACCTTGGGATAACAATACACAAACATACCGGGGTTAACAATATTCTAGGGTAAACTCAACTCACACACTCACACTCCCGTAATTTTAGATTATTCTATCCTATTCTAATCTAACCTACAACTGACCCGAAACACGCTACATAAAGATTTTTGTTTGTCTGTCTCCTTGTCCTATATGAATTAATACAAAAATGATCCAATCGCCAAGAAACATTGGGAAGTCGTTTATACCAACCTGTACTTAACGTGAAATTTCCTACCACAACCCCACTCATAAGGAGCAGTTCCTCCCCTCCCCCCCCCCCCCCCTCGAAGAGAAGCCGGAAAGAAACTCTAACTCCTGCAAAGTTTTCTGCCACAATTTTTTTTTATTTCGTTCGGAGAGCGGTTCCTTGACAGTATAGTTTTTCGGCTTGCCACCCGCGAGTTTCCCAGCGTCTTTCTTTGTGCCTGGGCTCAGTTAATTGGGTGTCCAGCACAAGAGGTCAGGGTTACTGCTAAATTCAACGGTAAAACTGCACAGGTTCATCAGCCGGCGCCCCGGGCTCCACCCGTGACCACTACGGCGCATACACTTGTTTTATTGAGCGCCATGCCCTAGGGATATAGAGGGCTACTATAATCAATTGCTAAAGAAAATAAGGGGTGTCCTCTAGCCGCCTCAGCAGTAATATACGGTTGGGGGCCCAAAGTCTCTCCATTATGATGATGTAATGAAAAAGTTGTAGATATGCCCTTTGGGTCAGTAACTTCGCCATCCTAAATATCGAACATACAGAAGCAGCTAAAATGGACTTCAGGGATAATATTAATCACTTTGCAAACTTATAAGAAAGGAAAAAATCGAAATAAATCATGAGCAGCTTTTTAAAATGTGTATTTGGTTAGTGGCGTCACAAGGTTCAATATCACCCTGTGCGTTTATTGAGTGTCAACCCCACCACGTCTAACAATTTTGCATTTCCCTCTACTTAATATTCTATTATTTTAACTGAAGAAAACTTAGTTTTGACAGTAAACTAAAATTTAGTAAATTTTACGAATTTTCATCACGGTGTCACACCAAATTGTCAGGACCCCACCCTGTGACGCTACTGTGTTAGGTTGCTTAAATGCTACAGGCTTACAGTTAGTTTGTTTTTACATACAAGTGATATAAAATCAATGGTATTTTATGTTACCGGGTACTACATAATAACACAGTGGAAATACACAATTAGAACGTATAAAATACACAATTTACACAAATCCTAGCTACGCCACTGTGTGGCATTTGGGCATTTGTCGCATTCGGGCAAGTGTCCATTCGGGCATTTGTCGCATTCGGACAAGTGTCAATTCGGGCATTTGTCGCATTCGGGCAAGTGTCTTTCGGGAAAACGTCCGGCTCTCATATA